GACCAAAATTTACATGGCGGGGGTCGTCGATGAAATAGACGACACTTACTCTTCCGGTACACTTACTTTTCCGGTACACGTTGTCTTATTCTCCTTGTACTTGTTCATGGGTCTCCGTGTAAATCTTTCCTTTACCCCTCCCCCCCCCTCCTCTCCATTTTCCCTTGAAATCACTCCATGGCATTTTCATTTCAGTTGATCGAGCTATCCTACACATGCATTTTTATGATGTTTATGTTGATGACGATTGAAACCGGAAGTACTTACACCGCCAGAGAGGTGAAAATTCCTACTACTACAAACGCTGGAATTACGATGTGATCAAGCGGCTTGGTGAAGGAGACTATTGTATACGTTTTTGTCCATAATATGGCATCACAGTCTGGCGCAGCCGACGAAACACGCCCAAGGGTATATTTTACTAGTGTCATAGACACAAAATTATCAAATGGGCGAATTGATCGTATAATAGGCGGTTATGTGATAAAACAATTTTTATATTATTGCACTCATTAGTAGGGAGATAATTCTGTTTGTATTGTTTAATGATATTCTACATAAAGATTATAATTCATTCCTTCTGTATAAACATTTCATTTCAGATCAGTTTACATTGTGCTGTTTTTGTACGCCAGTAATAGATTGGTAGCAGAGGTGTAGAAGGTAGGGGACGGTGATGTGGAAAGTATGATAAAATGTAGGTTGGGGCGTATTTAAAGCAGTTACACCGGATCAAAGTAAGTACGCCGGATTAAAACTGGTTAACAAATTTAACCGAACGCGCGCAAAGTCACCGGAATGTCATTGTTTTTCAAAGAATTCTTCAGACGGACAGAGGTAGAAATTTTTGTAGTGATAGTTTCGCACGAAGAAACGACCAGAAAAAAAGAGTATGCGGTAAAATAGATTTTTAACATGAAATTGATGTCGGCTTCGTTTCGCAACATATAATGGACATGTATGCTAGGAAATCGGTTGCCACGGGGATTGATTAAAAAGTCGGGACAGTAAAACTCACCAAGGAAGTAAGAGAGTGAACGTGTCATATTACTACATCATATAACATATAAATAATCAATTATTGTAAGTACTAGGATGTAGTAACGATTATCGACCGACCCACAAAGTACTCCCTACAATGACAAGGTCGAGTTTGTCAGCAGGTTTCCAGGCGATTTCAGGGAGGTAGATACACTGAAATTGCTAGCAGGTTTAGGTGTGAGGTGATCAGACAAACAGACTCGCACTTAGTGATGACTTCGCATATACACGGTGCCTCGAAAACAGTTTACTAACAATTTTCGTTCTTACGGTGTTCCTTTCTAAGTGTTCGCCGAGAATGGATTAAATATTTTTCTATCAGATGCTGACTCATCAATTTCCCGTCAAATGCAGAATAGAACAATGCGTAAAAATGTCCACGAATCTTCGTAGAAACACTGTAATTATCCACGATAGTGGTGTATTAGTGTGTATCTGATCTTACGAAATAGCATTAACGATGGTGCAATGAAAAAAATAACTAATGTTTTAAAATATTATATCGATTTCGTTCGTCTCATTACAATACAAGTCTTACACTTACCCTAGTCAACACGAAACTAGAAACTCGCCTTCTCTGTAGCTTAGGAAGAAACATGTATGAATTTCATTTGGTAACTTTTATCCCAAACGCCATATCCCTTTTTACAGTACATAAATTGCAGGTGAAATAATTCTGTTTAAGGGGTCCAGATTAGCAAAAAGGTCGCTTAAAGATTTTAATACCTTAATCCCCGTGACATTCAAACTGGGTCAAGGTAATTCAATTGAACAAATTCGATGGCCTTTTATCATATAATGCTACAGGCGCCAAGTATTGTGACCCCGACCTCCTGAGTGTCAAAGAGTAGACCCCTGTAATCTTGATAAAGAGTTAAAACCATTAATCTAAGCATGCTAAAGGCCAAATATCTTGATTGTTGAGAAGACGATTAAATATTTTGACATGTTTTACCATTGTGACCTTGAAAGTGGGTCAAGGTAATTGATTTTAACAAAATGGCTATTGAGAAAAAGATGTTACCATGACAACGTTAATGGACGACGAATGCCACCGAGTAAAGGAACTCTAAGCGGGTATTACTAAAAGTTGAAATTAAACAGAAACGAAACGCAATATAATTATTTTCGTCTCGCTCAAATCGTTAAAACTCTGAAAAGGTCAATGCAAGTGTTCGGGTACGACTGAGTGCTCTTGCATACTTAATTTACAATGTATATGTACCTATTTATATCACACAGCCAACAACACGTAAAGCGACGAAAATTACAATAACGAAACCCTATCATCATCGGAAATCTCACAATTCTGTACAATCCCACAACACAATTAAGGCCAAGGGGCCAAACCCCTTAACGGAGGTGTGTGAAAGATGACATGCATTCGATGAAACAGAAGAAATATTTCATATTCTAAAATTTCTCAGCAAACATAACCCCACAAAAATGAAATGTCTCCTTACACAGAAACATTTTATAAAACCACCATCTTCAGACTGTTGTCCTACCACTTAAACAATTCTTGTTATCGATATTTCTTGAGAATTACTGGAAGGATCTTTCTCTAATTTCATAGTTTGGTTCCCCTTGGCTCCCTAGATGTGAACTCATTTTTCGAGACTGAGTAGAAAAACAAAATGGCCGGCAGTTGGCCATCTTGGATTTTGATAGGTGCGATCTTTTAACGCTATTCATTGACAACTGCTAGTTAAATCATTATGACATTTTATATTCCAGTTAGTCCTTGTGTTTGCATTGTTTGTTTTGGGACAGTGTGTATTTTTCATTTAGCAGTTACAATCTATTATTGTTATATACTTAATACATCAAATTAAACTTCCTTTGTGGGTTTTCCTGGTGATAAATCATTCTCTAATGTGGGTTCCGTGTATTTCTTTGTTGTACGTGATACATTTTGGGACTGAAACACTGACCGAAGGCGGCAAACTTTGAATTTTACAGTCATATTTTGTTATCGCTATTTCTTGAGACAATCGGTTTAGATTCTGTTCAGTTTTCACAAGTAGGTTACTAACGGTCCCTGTTTGAAAACTGTCTATGAAAATAACTGGCATATGGTTGCCATGGTCTAACTGTTGGTAAATATGGTAACACTATATCTTGAGAAGTATTGCCCTTTCTGTAGATGTTTCCATTAGATTAAATTAGCGTTAATACAGAGAAACAAAGGGAAAAGATCCAACTGATGGGCGCCTGAGATCCCCATGTGATCACTTGTGTGACTTAAAACGTATAGAAACTGTGTTAAACACATCTCTTGTAAACTGTAACACAAGATGACGGTAGATTTCAAACGACATCGTAAAAAAAAACATGGAACGTCAGGTTTTACGTCGACTGCACCTAAAATTCAATGGAATGCAGCCAATACATTACTTAACATTACAACACGTGACCCAGTTAGATATAATAGTACATCCTATGTCGACCTCTATAATAACACGTGACTCAATAATATAGTATGATATCATACAGATATCTCCATGCCTTCCTATATTGTCAAAAATATTTGACCCGAAGAACTTGTACCTCACCATATGTTATACATATATAGCAAAAAAAGTAGTTGATTTCAGTATATATAGAGCAAACACATTATATTATGTAATAAATTGATTTATGTAATATAATGTAACCAAATAGTATAATAGTGTATAATATATCATAACATAACGTAATAGAGTTATGATATACCAGTATAACGTAGAGTAAAGTGATTTTATCAAACAATATCTAAGTACACATTATCTTAAAACACAACGTGATCCAATAATATTTTACGTTATAATATATCGATTCCAAACATTGTATCATAATGTAAATAATAGATATTTCAGATTCTAATATATATATATATATCATAACACAGAACTCGACCATATTACGTTATGATATATGGCCAGTATCATATGCTGTAGATTGTATAAGTCGATAATAGATTTATAAACAAAAACGTCAGGTGGGAAATTTCTGCGCGTGATTGTTATTTTTTTAAGATGTGTTGAATATACTTTTATTTTCCATTTGTCAACTTTCACGAACCAGAAATTCTTGCTAGTAGAATCCATTAATCTTCTATTATTTCACTTTATCTGTATATATCGACCACCCTAGCCCAAGCCAATCACTTGCGTAGAAGAAAGTAATTATTTTCCCGATTTACGAAATATCCTTGATATTGATGATTTAGTCTGAAGCATATCGATAATGATACAACATCGTAATATGTCAATATGTGATATATCATAAAATTTAACTAAAGAATAACATTATTTCAGTTTAAGATTTATCCAATGTAAAAACATAATCACCGAATCTAAGAAACTCTCCGCCAAATCTACCAATCATATCTTAACGATCCATCCAATCAACCAATCAACAACGCGATTGATTATCGATCGATCAGACACTCAGGCTAATGGAGGGAATCCGACTGAATCTTTCTCATAAGTCAAATAAGTAGAAATTCTTGGTAATCAATGTGTACCCAAACTTAAGATTACATATCACATATATCGCTGATACTGAAGTTCTTTGCACGTGCCGAACATGGACACACACGTCAAAGCCTCGTTATGGTCAGATCATCGCAATGTCGTCAGAACAAGCATGCGCACTTGACTGACGAGTTAAAACATTGGAAGACTTTATTAGAGTCTACGTTGACAATATTTCGGCTTTGATTCAGAAGAAATTGTCTGAATGGTGAAAGACTGTACTGTAGTGTAAACATTGTTTTGATGTTTCCTGTCGCCTGGCAACATACCTTCATTTGACTTTTTCGTATCGACATTGACGAGTGCACAAGAAAAAACACATCGAAATTTCAATCGACATAGAGGAAATATTACACATAATTAACTTAAATGTATATTAAATCATAGGTGTGTTTTATCAAGTGTATCTGCATATAGGCTAGGATGCCAGAAATTGTTACATTAGATGATGACAGTGGGGTTAGCCGTACCCGTGTCGCTTTCCAGCAGTTCGTCAAGCCCTGGAATGACCCGTACCATCTCCTCCTTTCGAGAGTTTCTCTGGAGATAGAGTGATACGTGGATGACCGCTGATAACATGGCACATAGAAATGCGGTTCCGGCAAAGTAGAAAGACCATCCGTAAGTGTAACTAAAGGAGGATTCCTCTTTGTCTTTTTCTTTCATTCGGTGGCCAACCTCATCATTGATCACAGAGATGTACAGAATTAGACCCACTGCTAGACTCAGACCTGCAAATAAAAGTACAATATCAGACCCCCACTGCTAGACTCAGACCTGCAAATAAAAGTACAATATCAGACCCACTGCTAGACTCAGACCTGCAAATAAAAATACAATATCAGACCCACTGCTAGACTCAGACCTGCAAATAAAAGTACAATATCAGACCCACTGCTAGACTCAGACCTGCAAATAAAAGTACAATATCAGACCCACTGCTAGACTCAGACCTGCAAATAAAAGTACAATATCAGACCCACTGCTAGACTCAGACCTGCAAATAAAAGTACAATATCAGACCCACTGCTAGACTCAGACCAGTTAACAAAAAAAATGAATTTCAGACATACTGTTACAGACTCTGGCATGTAAACACAAGTAGAATGTTAAACCCACAACAAAATCCTGACCTGTAAGCAAAAATATACTGCTACATGTTCGCTTTCTTTAACACTATGTTCCTGTTTAGTACTGCCCCGCTGCGGCGTATCCTGATTCTCCATGAACTGCAGCTTGAAAGGAGTTGATTGGTTCCTTACGTAAGTCAGTGCTCCTATGATTCACATTGGTCATTTGTATGATTAAAGTGACCGTTTATTCATCGAAACGTCATGCTCAAATCATCTATTGATTGTGTTAGAAGAGCTGTTATTCTAAAAGGTAAAGACGTTTGGTCATCGTCATAAAGACATTTGGTCACCGTCATAAAGACGTTTGGTCATCGTCATATATATAATTACACAGAAGGTAAAGACGTTTGGTCATCGTCATAAAGACATTTGGTTATCGTCATAAATACGTTTGGTCATCGTCATATATATAATTACACAGAAGGTAAAGGGCTTTGGTCATCGTCATATAGACGTTTGGTCATCGTCATATTTATAATTACATAGAAGGTAAAGGGCTTTCGTCATCGTCATATAGACGTTTGGTCATCGTCATATTTATAATTACATAGAAGGTAAAGACGTTTGGTCACCGTCATAAAGACATTTCGTCATCGTCATATATATAATTACACAGAAGGTAAAGGGCTTTGGTCATCGTCATATAGACGTTTGGTCATCGTCATATTTATAATTACATAGAAGGTAAAGGGCTTTGGTCATCGTCATATAGACGTTTGGTCATCGTCATATTTATAATTACACAGAAGGTAAAGACGTTTTGTCATCGTCATAAAGACGTTTTGTCATCGTCATATATATAATTATACTGAAGATAAAGACGTTTGGTCATCGTCATATATATAATTATACAGAAGGTAAAGACGTTTTGTCATCGTCATATATATAATTACACAGAAGGTAAAGACTTTTGGTCATTGTCATAAAGACGTTTGATCATCGTCATATATATAATTATACAGAAGGTAAAGACGTTTGGTCATCGTCATATAGACGTTTGGTCATCGTCATATATATAATTATACAGAAGGTAAAGACGTTTGGTCATCGTCATAAAGACGTTTGGTCATCGTCATAAAGACGTTTGGTCATTGTCATATATATAATTATACAGAAGGTAAAGACGTTTGGTCATCGTCATAAAGACGTTTGGTCATTGTCATATATATAATTATACAGAAGGTAAAGGCGTTTGATCACTCTGAATTTACTTGAATATTACATTTAGGAAATATAAATTGTTGTTTATATAATCGATTTAACATGTTGCAATGAACAAGCTGATTTATGAAAATTCATAAAATCGCTGTTATATTCGATGAAGTTTGGAACTATGTTTCCGCGCGGAGCAGTTGTTTTGGCGTCCGTGATCAGGCAAAATTCAGCGTAACGTCAATGTCAGGAAAACACAGATTGAACAACAAAACTGTTTAAGTTTCAGTAGTCTGATTTTCAATCAATGTTGCAGGATAAACAGAATACATGTCCAATGTCTTAAAATATAAGCTGCATTTTGACTCGGGACAGAAAGACAAAAGTGGCTCGCCAAAAACATTGGTTATCGTCATACACAAGATGTATATAACACACAAACAAAAGTTAACGTTAAATGAAAGTACGACAATGCTGAATTAATATAAGACAATGTTGAATGAACACAAGATAATGTTAAATGAACATAAGATAATATTAAATGTAAAATGCGCATAAGATAATGACAAATGTCAAGTTATGATTTCTGTACATAATCAGAAAGCTATAATGTTTATACAGAAGCTGCATCTACGAGTGTCCCAATGCATAATTCGATAGACAATCCATTAATATTGCCAGACTGTCTCCATTATACCTACGCTGTCACAGAACGACTGTCTCAGAGAGATTACCTAAAATGTTTGCAAAGCAGCCAACTGTTTGAAATATCTGTCCGTGAATTATACATGTATGCAAGCACATGTTGCACGATTCTGTGCGCCTTTATACATTGATTCCGAGGCACGACAATTACGGTACTCAAGGTCGCGCGTCATACTTGCTTTGTTTCAATTAGACACTGTGCTAATCTGCAGAGCTGGCACATCGCGAGAAAGCGGGTCTTAATCTGCCCCTATTTACCAACAAACATGGCAAGACATCATCAGAATTTATTGTCCTATAAGTGAAAACTTTCAGCGAAATGCAGATACAGATAATTAAATTCAAACAACTAACTATAAAATAAATTACATTTTCTTTCAGTTAACACAATCAAGAAAAAGAAGTCGACAAAGAGTTAATTAGCAGTCCGTGCTTTTCAGTAATGATCAAGGCCGATTAGCGGTTATTAACACTTGGTAATCTAACATATACAACCATTACTGTCAGCCTAGAAGCTCTAGCATTCCTGTTGTTAAAGGATACCATGTAGTGTACAATCAGCCCAATTTGGATTTAAACTGAATAAATGTAGTTATGTTAAAAAAGAATATTCGAAACCTTTAAAAACGTGCATCAAAAGATTCGATCGCAACAAGTTGTGCCTCTACCCCACCCTCCCTCTGACGGTGATGTCTGGTGATCAAGACTCTCTGGTACCATATGGCTTATAGATATAACAAAACCTAATACATAGCACGCCATCTAAATATTAGGTTTACTTTACATGACCTGGCAAGGTTATAAGAAACATATATAATACATATTTACTGAATCGCTCATAATCAGAAATAAGATTCTATTTCGGTGTAACTTATAGAAGATATCGTTTTCGGGATCAATTCAGGTTTTCTGGAATCTGACATGGAATAAAAGATAAAAAACAGTACACGCATGGTATAGACAAGAAAATAATCATTTTGCCTTGATATCGCCAAGAGATATCAACATGGCCATTTTGAATTCTACGATGAACGATATGACTAGGAAATGACTCCTACGTCTGTGCGACTGTTCACATTGGGTAAATCACACATGACAGTAAGTAAGTATGCTTACCCGTTTTGGAAGAGGAGCGAACATGTCACATGGTGAATACGATAGTATTACTTAGATAGCTATTGCGGTTTATGTCTAATGTGTTGTATTTTGCTTTGTTATCCGCGAAAAGGCGTCTGAGAAAAAAGCGAAATAACGGGGGGGGGGGGGGGGGGGGGGGGGGGAAGCGAAAATACGCCAAACCGGGTTTAAAACACCATTTTAAGCGTCGACATCTTTTTCACCTCTGTTTGGCGAGTTTTTTTTTCAATTTTATTTATTATTTTTATTTTTTCCAATATTTTAACTTTAGCAGGTTTTTCGCCTGGCTTCATTTCGGAGACAACAAAGCGGAAAGAAGACATGTTTGATATAAGCTTGCAACCAGAAACCGCAGTTTTAGTTCAACAATCGACGATATCTCAAGGAAGTTTTTCTTAGACATCTTATTCATCCAAAGACTGCAAATATACTTATCTATCAAAGGTAAAATGGCATCTAGCTACAACAAAGTACATATAGAACACGTAACGAGGTCTCGTTATCTCGAGAAGATATACATGGAGCTGAAGTAAACTCATGTCGGTATCAAAATGGACTGAGAGATATTCAGATTGTTAATACACTAACGACAATAAAGGGTATCGAAAACGAGAATAATGAACTATTATATTATTAGTTTGATCACATGTCATTTTGTATATATGATAAGTCGTTACTGTTAGTAGTTCAGCAAAGTTGCCTTTCCTACACCTGTGTACTAGATGTATCAGCACAGTTACCTACACATGTGTACTAGATGTATCAGCACAGTTACCTACACCTGTGTACTATCAGCGCAGTTACCTACACCTGTGTACTATCAGCACAGTTACCTACACTTGTGTACTATCAGCACAGTTACATACACCTGTGTACTAGATGTATCAGCACAGTTACCTACACATGTGTACTATCAGCACTGTTACCTACACCTGTGTACTAGATGTATCAGCACAGTTACCTACACATGTGTACTAGATGTATCAGCACAGTTACCTACACCTGTGTACTATCAGCACAGTTACCTACACCTGTGTACTAGATGTATCAGCACAATTACCTACACATGTGTATAGATGTATCAGCACAGTCACCTGTGAACTATCAGCACAGTTACCTACACCTTTGTACTATCAGCACAGTTACCTACACTTGTGTACTATCAGCACAGTTACCTACACTTGCGTACTAGATGTATCAGCACAGTTATCTACACCTGTGTACTATCAGCACAGTTATCTACACCTGTGTACTATCAGCACAGTTACCTACACCTGTGTTCTATCAGCACATTTACATACACCTGTGTACTAGATGTATCAGCACAGTTACCTACACCTGTGTACTATCAGCACAGTTACCTACACCTGTGTACTAGATGTATCAGCACAGTTACCTACACCTGTGTACTATCAGCACAGTTACCTACACCTGTGTACTATCAGCACAGTTACCTACACCTGTGTACTATCAGCACAGTTATTTACACCTGTGTACTATCAGCACAGTTACCTACACCTGTGTTATATCAGCACAGTTACCTACACCTGTGTACTAGATGTATTAGCACAGTTACCTACACCTGTGTACTATCAGCACTGTTA